CCGGATCGTTCGATTCACCGTCAAATAGATGATACAGACAAATCCTTAAAATTGGCATAGCAACTAGCTCATGGGTGTTGAAAGTTCTAGAATAACGTACCTGCACTCAGTTGCCATGCGATTTGTCCGGTGATAACAAACCACTTAGAGGGAGATCCATATTGCATATATACATAGATGTAAGCTGCTATTACATTGATTAAGCAGATAAGGAAAGATTGAATGAAAACCTAAAACCAGTAGGTATCATCCAGCTAATATAGAGCTCTAGAAATAAGAAGTAAAAGCTTAAAACCTGCAAACAGTTTTCGTAAAACCAAACATGCTTTTTACCAAATTTTTGTGTAAATTTATATCTTTTTTAGATCATGCACAATGGTAGATAGTTATGCACTTGAAAGATACGGGAACAAGTAACTTTGAAAAACACTTCTTGCGCAGAAAAGTGTGAAATTGAATCAAATTGAAAATCTCTTTTTCTCTCCTAGATTCTGCTTACAAAGGGCGGACACTTAAAAAACAAATTGCTCTGGAAATGATTCAAACTTTAAGATGCAACATGTTGTTTCCAAATTTACCTCATTCCGTCTCTTCAAGGGGTTTTTAAAATGAAAGTTCTTTAACCGAGTTTGGTCGCTAATGGCTGTCAAAATATGTTACAAACCTTCCTTCAACCGACAACAATGTCAGGAGTTAAAAGTAGCAAAACGTTACTACATCGATATCATTTCGACTGTTAGGGCCAAAATTCTTCCCATATTCTGTATTTATTGTTGAGGAAAAAAAACCTTTGACTGATTCCAAAAACGTTTCGCAGATATAGAAAACATTTGGAAAGTTTTGAGCTGCAACCATTAATAGGTACGTTTTCATATATCCGGCTAAATCTACTTTCTTTGGCAAAACGAGGTTGATGAACAGACTGTAAATCATCTGGCAGCTTTGTCGATTTCGCCGGGAAGACATTCCATTCTCCCCTCCCCCCCTCCTCCCCTTCCTTCTGTTTCTCCCTCCCCTTGCCCATTACTGTCGTTCGGAGTTCCTTTTCAGGCATTTCATACGTACTTGTTCCCCAAAAAGTTCGCTGTTCTTCGCGCATTATTTAGCGCTCGTCATAGTAAAGCTTTGAACTCGATTACTGCGTTTTGATTCTTTGTCTTTGGCCTATTGAGGTAGATATGTATTGTCGCTATAGTTTGTCCCTATACAATAACACTTGAGACAAAAAGGCTTTCTTAGCCTAAAAGCTTTCAAAAACGGCTTATTGTATTCAACGCTTAATTTGAAGGCTTACCTGCCTCTGAAACCTTCCAACTTTGATGGTGCTACTTTTTGTTCTGAGGTATAATTTTATGCATAGGTAAAAATACATAGAAGTTGTCGCTATTGAAACGATAACATTGTTGATGGCGTGGAAGATATTGACATACTCAAGCGACTGAAAAGAGGAATTAATTATGTAAGCTCTACTGTTTATCTACTGTACATATCATATAGCGTTTGACCGTTCTTTAATTCTCCTGCTCCATCCGTTTTTCTTATTTTACCAAAAATGTTTGAACCTCACAAACCTCTTGTCCTGTCATAGGGTTAAAAAACCACGAAACATAATTTGAGTTGAATGATGCTGGGGTCGTGAAGAACATGATGAACAAAAAGTAGGCAAACGACAAAAGTAGCAGGAAATACACACGTTTTCCATCAAAAATCGCTTTTAGTATTCGGTTCTCGGACATGTCTGCACATCGATTCAGCGCAAGAAGAATGCACGTCAGACAGCTAGCACACCAGCAAGCTAAAATCACTTGAAAATCATCTTCTTGGGATTCGTGTGGTAACCTAAATGAGCGAATAGGAAGTCCAAAAGGTTCTTGATAAGATCTGCACATTGGTCAGATCTCATCAAGAAATTGTTCGCTTTTCCCATTTGCTCCCATACTAGGTTGACAAAAAGTTTTGGCTTATTACAGCAGTAGCTCCGCACCAAATAGAGATTTGCATAGATGTTCTGCTTGTGTTATTATACGTTAGCCCGTAAAACTTCAATTGATGGCCTTATTTGAAAAGATGAAGCCAGCAGCATTTGGGAAACTACATTACGATCGATACAACCCTTATGCAAGGCCTTGTTTCGCCCAGATTATTATTAGAAGCAGTGGGTTATCGAAACCATCATGCTGATGCAAAAAAAA